AAAACTGTAAGTCTTTAATTTTCTTTCGTTTTTCGTATTCAAATGTAGCTGGCGATTTGCGTTGTTGTCGATACTTTAATTGTGGAGAAGGATTTTTCAATCTATAAACACAGTTACGAGAAAGGTGTTTTTAAAATTTAATGATAAAACAGGACACTCCAGCATCCCCAAGGGCATAATTAAAACATACAGTCGCATTAGACAAAACTTCTATTGGAATAATTTGAAATCCGACATATAAGATTACATTAATCGTTGTCTACAATGCCAAATAAAAAAATTGGTTCGCATTAAAACAAAACAACCTATGTTGATAACAGACACTCCATATTCTGCATTCGAAAAAGTATCAATGGACATAGTCGGCCCATTACTAATAACCTCTCAACAAAATTCCTATATATTAACTATCCAAGACCATTTAACGAATTCTCCCTCGCCAACCCTTTAAAATCCTCTACAGTCATAAGTGTTGCTGACGCCTTCCTAGAATTTTTTATCTGTACGTTCGGAGCTCCTAAATCAATACTAACGGACAGAGGCAGTAATTTTACGAGCAACATGATGAAAAGATTTGCAAAAAATTTAAAATTAAACAATTCAAAACGACCGCTTTCTACCCACATGCTAATGAAGCTTTAGAACGGTCTCACTTAGTTTTAGTAGAATTTTTCAAGCAATTTGTAGACAGATTCACAGAATGGGATAAATTAGTACGATACGCCACCTTTTCATACAAGCACATACGAGGCTACCAAATACGCCCCATATGAGTTAGTATTTGGTAAATTAGCTAGGCTTCCGACCAGTGAAATCGTTAATAATATAGAAGAATTAAAAACATCTGACTCTTACTTAACAGCTCATGACGGATATATAATACATAATATACAAAAATTAACACAAGAAAATATTATATCTTCCAAAATTTTCAAATCAACGATAAAGTTTTCTTATTATGTGAATCCAAGAAGGGCAAATTCGGTAATCAACTCCGAGCCTCACATGGTATTACCTAATAATAATATAAAACTCCTTAAAGGTAAACAAAAAATTATTCATCCTAATAAATTAAAGGTGCCTCATATTCATTTAGAAAAGGAATGAGACGGAGAAGATTTGAATTGTGCCATGTAACAATCCAAATCTTTATATATATATATATTTATACAGGGTGATTAAATTGAATATATTATCCTTGAAATGTCATATTCCTGACTTAATTTTAAGACGATTTTTCCTTTGTCAAAATTTTGTCAAAAGAGTAGTTTTTAAATTATAATAAGAAATAATTAACGAATGACAGGACGCGTAGAGAAGGAGCGGCGTTTCTTACTGTCCGACGCAGACCGTACGGGCGACCCTCGTTACGATCAGACGATCGCTAAACACGCATGCATATGCGATCGCATTCTCTCTCTTTCAGAACTGCCAGTTCAGAAAGGTAAGAGACATACTTTTTATCCCCACGAACGCACATATTAATTAAAACAGGCACGCAAATCTCCTGCAATCGTGTCATATCTCCAATGTTCTTCTTAAATGATGGTATCGTATGACACCAACTCCCGAACGCTCTTTATCTCCGACAATTATGAAACCCATGACAAAACCTATATGGCATTATACAAATCCTGGATCGCTAGCAGTAAGCGGCATATATAGTGACAAGGATCTCGAAAACCTGCGGGATCATATAATGTTTCCAGCCGAAAAAAACGGAATTCTAAATACTGTGGCACGAGGAGTTAAAGGCGAATTCATAATTTCCCAAGGAATCTCTCTTTCGCATCTTTTAGATGAGAATTCAATTCAGAAAATTACAAAGAATACATGGAAAAAGATCTGGGGAAATTTTATTTCCTTCGGCAACGCAAGTGCTGGAATAATCGGAATCTATTTCTGCATCAGAACCGTGAAACTAATTATAGACACTATAATACATGGATACGGTATACATACAATCTATGGCTGATCATTACATCTGGTCGGGGCCCTTTGGGACTAACACAAAATGTGTTAGTTATTCTAGAAATTTCTCGATGTAAATTTCTAACAATTATTGAATAGTTTCTGAGAGACAAGAATTATTATGACAAAATGTTTTAGAAAATTTAGTATTTAATTTTTTTAAGGAAATAAAAATTATTTTGCAAGAAGAAATATTCTTTAATAATGTAAGATACGACCTCCGCACGTTTAAATTACAGAGACGCTCCTGAGCCAGAATGTCACATGGGCGCCCGGCGACTCGGCCGCACAAACACTATAATACATGGATACGGTATACATACAATCTATGGCTGATCATTACATCTGGTCGGGGCTCTTTGGGACTCAGTTACAAATTTAATCATACATCTCTCCCAAAAACACAAGAGGAGGGAAGCATCTCAAGAGGAAGCAGCAGACAATTTAAGCACATCAGAAGAAAATCCAAATCTGTCCAAGAACATCACGAATCGAGAAGGAAGTACCGAGATCTCTATTGAACAAGTAAACGCCAGAATATATCCACAATTGTAAGCATTTCTTTCTATAATTGGCATACTCTATATACACGTATATTTACTATTATTTTATATATAATCATGCGTGGCGCACATTAAGTGCATCACGCATGACTTAAAGAGGGAGGTGTTACATTCCGATAAATCCTCTTATTCTTTATAGATATTCTTCATAGATATATACTTTACACTTTACTTTTTATCTTATCGCTAGATTAATATTTCCCTATTTTATCTTTATTTCAAAACCGAAAATTCTTTTCCTCTTTTATAAGAGGGTATATTCAGTTTCTTTATTTAAACATTCAAACTAACAGGTAGATTATATACTTTTATGCGTCATACAAATTATCTACAGATTATTCTAAAGAATGTCTAAGAATATCACACGATCTTTCTCAAAGAAGCTTCTATAAAATAACAAATATAAAAGCGTACATTAATAATAATGTATATTATATTAGCGTTTAACGATTAAGTAATTAGCAGTAAATAGAAATCTTCCTGAATGCGAGAACGAATATCTTTTTTTTCCCTTTTTCTTTTTTTAATAAAGTTAAATTAATTTTAAACATATGAATGTAGTTAAACATATGAATTCGCCTCGCATAAAGGATATTAAGGAAAATCGAATTTTTATTATTACAAATTGTTAAAACTTAACTACTTACTTATTAAGAATAAACTTGTAGAGTGGGGAATAGGGCTTACGCGGAGCCTTGCTGTCTTATCTCAAGGAAAGCGCGAGTATAGGTTCTACCAAATTTTGAGGAGTGTCGATTGGTTCTGAAAGAACACTCTCACACTCATTTTCAGAATATAAAAGAAGCTGTCAAAGACAGAAAGTTCTTTTTTTTCGGTCAATTCATCAGTTACCCAGCCAATCAGTCGGTCGGTTATTCAGACAATCAGTCAGTTAGTTACTTAGTTACAGTTACAGCTACAGTTACAGTTATACAATCAAGATGAGAACTATCCTCGCGCTCCATCAGACTCCTCATTTTTCTTTTTCATTGTTTTACTTATAGCATTTACTTATTTCAATAAACGAAAATATTGAATCGAATCTATCGACGGAATCTCTAAATCTCTAATCGGTTACATACAAGTACATATACATATATGAATCTTCCCAGTGAATCACATCCTTAACCGCACAACTTAATCTCCGATGCCCGAGTAAATTGTTTAAATACATTGACTCAAAAACGGAGAAAATCTCAACAACAACATTAGATGTAACACATTCTTACAGAAGACTTCAGAGAATACAAGTAAATAATGTAAAAGCAATTTTGCAATTGGAATTGAAGGACTCATATCGTCACTTACATTGTATTAGAATGAGCATCTTTGATTTTTCATTTAAAATCCATAATGTTTTGCCAGTCTCCATAGTTTGTAAATTTTTTAAATATTTTTAGACAATATTAATTGTTTTAACTTTTTTCATACAAGGAGAAAAGTTAAGAAAATTCTATGATTAAAGGAAAAAGACTTGAAAAATAAAAGAGCAAATATTAATCCAATTTCTTATATTTATGCTTCTAATAAGGAATTGCTAAATAAAATTATATCTAATAATGTCATTAATGACAAGTCTTTATAGGTTATGAAAAAAATACATATTTCGGCTGAACTTTGGAGATGCTCCTCTAGATTTTTTAAATAACATGGTTCCTCAATTTGAGCAATATTGACATTCCAGTATCTGCTTCAGTTAGGGGAAGGCTTTGGCCTTCCTATTACTAAACATAATATTGATAGAATATTAATTGAGTTCATTAAGAATATTGAAAATAATATTATTGGTCGTCAGAATAATATAATAAATTTCGTTAGAAATAATACTGTTTCAATTCTGGAGAAGTTTCAGAATGATTTTCCTAGGACTGATTTGAATGATAAATTATTATTTGATTGGTTTAAGATAACAAAAATATTTGTTAAAAATCATCCTGAAATGTTAAAGCAGATAAAGATAATGTTACTGTTGCTCAAAATAAACTAGATTACATATTCAAAATAGAATTATATACTTTCAGACAATAATACATATGAGATGATAACTAAAAATCCTACAAAAAAACTTACGATTTACGTAACATGTTTAGTAGGTGGAAAGGAAAAGATTTAATAGATGATTTGACGTATCGAAAGTTGCGTATGATTGATGGGATCTCTAGAGCATATGGTTTAACGAAGATTCATAAACAAAACTATTCTCTGAGAATCATTATTTCATCTTTAAATAGCCCATTATATAATCTATCATTGTTTCTGCATAACATCATTAAAGATTCTATACCAGAAACTACTAGTTTTATAAAAAAATAGCTTTGACTTAATTAATAAACTTAAAGATGTTAAACTGGAATCAGATTCTATGTTGGTTTCCTTGGATGTGGTATCTTTATTTACTAATATACCTATAGATTTGGCATCTGATAATATTATTGGAAGGTGGGATGCTATATCCAAGAAAACTAAAATTCCTTTGAATTTTTGATTGTCTTTCGGATGATTTTAAATTCTACGGTTTTTATCTTTAATAAAAAAATATACAAGCAAATTTGGGACCCTTATGGGTTCACCCTTGTCACTCGTTGTTGCAAATATGGTTATGCAGGACTTTGAAAAAATGGCTATCGGAATGCTGCCTTGTCGACTGATATTTTATTATTGACACGTTGATGATATTATCTTAACTGTTCCGTCTGAGAGTGTTGGTGATATTTTGGATATTTTTAATTCGTTGCGCATTAGATTGTAGTTCACTATGGAGATTGGCTTTGATGGAAAATGAATTTCAAAAAAATTATTATTAAAAAATTATCAACGAATAATCGATTATTATGCTTCCATACATCCATGAGTCAAAATGCTCTTTTCTATGATCATTTTACATATGCCACAAGTATGTACAACAGCTATCTGAAAATTTCATGAAATTATCACAAATAATAACGAATAATATAATAATTAAATAATAATAATAAATAATAATAATAATTTAATAGTACAATAATTAAATTGGTATAATATATTGAGCAATCATATAACATTTTCGACCCTGTCGAGTTTGCATTAACCTGGGTTGAAGTAATGATGTTTCGTGCTCTCCTATTAGTAGAGCGTGTAATCAATAGCGAAGCATTTTCTAACCCAAATTGGTGTAAACCCGGTCGGGCCAAAAGCTATATAAAGAAAAGTTAATAAAGAAACGTTTGTATAAATATAACAGAAAATAAAAATAAAAATAATCAGAGTTAAATGAAGTAAAATCGCATGCAACAAATTTTTTATTGATAAGAAATTTGTATTTATTTATTTATTGTGATAATTATTTGAAATACAGGCGAAACTTGATAAAACGAAATTTGATAAAAATATATTCATTCGACACGTTTTCACGAAAATAAAAGAATCTGGCAGAAAAATGTGGTGGTATGCTTCATGAAGCAAATTGATTAATCACAGTGAAGTATTCCCCTCTCATTCGGCGGTAAGAAGGGAATACTCGAAGGTAATTGATCAATTTTTACAGATTGCATATGGCATATAAATGCGGTTACGGCTAATATAAATGCTTCTTTATAGTGAAAGCTTTGATTAATAAAGTGATGAAATTATTTTAGATGAATCAAAATTATAAATAGATAAGCCCTTATATTATTATAAAGGTTTCGAATTAAAAATATATAAAAGGTATTATGTACAGATATTATGTAGTAGGAAAGCGTTGAAAGTGACATTCTAACTTTATCAATCATATAATTTTAAAAATAATCATATATGTAAAGAGTATACACAATATATTTTCTTACACTCAATATCACGTCGTCGGCTCTCCACAATAGTTACCCTCCCTCTATTGACGTTTAAGTATAAAGGCAAGAAGCTCATGATAGGAGTCACATACAGTAATCGAAATTTGTGAATTTATGAATTCGAGTATCCTATTATTATAAAAAATAGTATCTTAAATTGTGGTTTGGAAGCAAGTATAGTAGAAATTTAACACTTTTTCATTTTGTAATCGTTAATTTTAATTGAAAAATTGTTTGCGAAACAGAATCTGGAAATTATGCTTCGTTCCACGAGTTAAACTAATTTCAATAAGAAACGACACATAGCACCACATCGATTAAGATAGAACAAATTTTCAGGTTCGTCAAAATCTAAACGAGCGTTTTAAGTAGTAATAATTAACAAATCTGTAAAAAAATTGGATAAAGTTTCATGTAACATGCATTCAATGTATTGTATTTAATGTCACGTTTTGTTTATGAATTTATACTGAAGATGGTCTAATCAAGACCGAAACATTTATATATATTTTTTTTTCTTGATTTGAATAAACTGTTATTTCGCTTCCAAGATTTTGCGTAGTGGTGTATGCCCTTTATATATGATTATTTTTGTTAGCCACTTAAAATTGTTTATTATCATATAAACAATTTATTTGTTATAATTATATATATTCATATATATATAATATAATTTTAACACTTCTTCGCAAAGAACATGACTAAAACATATCGAAAATGATTAAAATATTAGGTGTTGGAATTAATTCGTAGCGTTTTACAAGTGATGGGAAGTACTTTCATTAATGTATTTTTTAATGCTCATGTGAAATAAATAACATTCTTTCATTAAAAACGCTACGAATTAATTCCAACACCTAATATATTGTCAAAAAGAGTGTTTAAAATTACCAGTATATAACAGTTTGACAATGGCAAGACATTTTATTGTAAAATTAAAGTATTGTTAAATGAAAGTATTATTTTATTACTGTTTCATCACTATTTTAGTTCCAAAAGTGTAAACCTAGAAAGAAAGAAATTAAGAAAATATACCTTATGTATTTATCCGACGATGCTAACAATTACCGAAAGACATGAGCAGTAATCGATGTCGATCTCGCAGTGAATACAAAATGATTCTGAACCTTACCGAGTCTTAACTTATTAACTATCGCAGAGGCTTACACGAGGTTCGCACGCAGAACGCCAGAGAGAGCGAAAGAAGGAACAACCGGAAAGAAGAACCAATTCCAGCGCCGCGACGAACGCTCGCACCGCCGCAACTAGCGCTCGCAGCGCCACAATTAACGCTCGCAACGCCACAGCATTCATGTGCTCCAATATTCAGTGACATGAACGGATTTAGGACAAGTAAGCCTATCACTTAACCTAATCCGTGAGACTACTTGAACGGATCAGACATGTGTCTTGTTTCGGATATTTTGTGTTACTTCGATTATTTGAAAAGCATTTTTATACAAAATAAATGCATTTTTAATAAATATAAAAGTAATATTATATAATATTAATAAATATATTATATTTTAATATTATATTACATTATATTTTGTTGTATTAATATTATTTTACTTTATTTTTTTAATTTTTCTAATTTTATTTATTTTATTTTATTTATTTATTTATTTTAAGGATTAATTATTTATAGATTTTAATATGTCATTCAACATTATTAAGATCGTTTCGAAGATACGAATAAGCATCAAAAATTTATTAAATCACTAGTTATACTCATAGAGTATGCTCTAACGCGACGCGAACATCTAGTCGCCATATTGGTTCCGGTGACGCGAACGTATTGGAGCGTATTGGGCATGTTGGAGCGTGCGACGCAAACAAACTTCTTGTATCTTGAAATGAGAAAAGGTTACACGACAATTTTCATAAAAAAAGAGAGGTTAATGTTGGTAATAAAAACCCTTGAGGCACCATATTTATTTTCTACGGATTGGTAACATTTATAAATAATAATCCATTAGTTTGTGCCGATCGTGGCCGATCGAGTGTAAAAGTAGTGTAATACAGTGTGATAATTCATGAATTGTTCGTAAACGGCTGTCATCGCGGAGGTTTCGTGTTTTGACAGTTATGTGTATCAAAAGGTTAATAACGCCTTTGAGATTACTCAGATAAGTTTCATTAAGTATTTTACAAAACCTTTTTTTTTACTATTTCATAAAAAATCAATACTTTGTGTTATATATTTTATTTTCAGTTATTGATTTTTGGCCTAACATTATCAATGGTGTCAAATTGTGCATTGAAAAGGAAGGAAAATTAAAAGGAAAGAGAGGAAAAAGAAGAAAGGAAAAGGAAAAGAGATGTGGAAGGAAGCATAATCTGAATCAGTGGATAATCATTAACAGCAGTAAGGATGCCATTAGCAATGGCAATCAATTTGTCATAATATTTGTAATATAATTGTATTTTAGATTTCAGCGAAGCATATAAAAGCATTCAAAATGGAAAGATAGAAATTTTTTTTATATTTTATTGTTCAGCTTGATAATAAGCTAATAAGCTTGATTGTCAATCTTAGTATTTGAAACACAAAATACAAAATATTTTTATGTGCTCTTTGAAATATTAAAAATACAAAATACTTTCATGTATTCAATAACTATATTACGAAAATACCATTTTTCAAATAAAAGTATTTCAAATACATGTCCAGTCCTTTATATGTGTTGCATTAATTGTAACAAACTTATATACGAAGAATCTTTAACAGGTATCTTGCAAACTTTTCACAAAAATAAAGACATGAGAGATGCAGTATATATAACAAGATCAAAAGAAAACAATTATAAATATATATATGTAAAATAAAACATAAAAGTCATGAGAAATAAAATGTAAAATTTATGGAAGTTAAATCAAGGAATTACAGTTTTTTCGTGAGTTTTGTTGTTTTCTTCTCATAGCTTATGTATCTTCCATTTACAACATATTTATCATTTTTTATCGATTTTATGTTATGTTAGACTGCACCTCTCAATTTTTACGAAACAACTATTACAATATTTATTAAAACTGCCATTTATGAAACGACAACTATTAAAATATTTATTAACATAAACAAATATTAAAATATTTATTAATTAATCTTGTTTTTTCAGATAAGTTGTTTTTTGATAATTCATTCATAGAATTAACAAGAAATTTATTTCACAAAGTATCAATTTTTTATGAAATAAGTAAGAAAGGTTTTGTAATGAAAATATTTAATGAAACTTATCTGAGTAATCTCGAAGACGTTATTAACCTCTTGATATACATAAATGTCTTGATATAAATGTCAAAACACAAAACTTCCGCGATGACAGCCGTTCACGAACAGTTCATGAATTATCACACTGTATTACACTACTTTTACACTCGATTGGCCACGATCGGCGCAAAATAATGGATTATTACTTATAAATGTTACCAATCAGTAGAAAATAAAACTATGGTGCCTCAAGGGTTTTTGTTGCTACTAACATTATCCCCTCTTTTTTAATGAAAATTGTCGTGTAACCGGTGAAAATTATAAAAGTGAGCGAATTTACTAGAACACTGATTATTTCATTAATAGTCAACACTTAGTAAATTTGCTCGCTTTTGTAATTTTCACTTTGTTTGAAGATACGAATCGACCCCCTGTAATTTGAATGAGATTACTCACTTTTCGCACTTTCATCTCATGTGAGTGTCCGCGTGATTCTGTAACGACGAAATGAAAATACAAAGTGAAATCATTAGATTTGCCGGTGTGGGGAAAAACGTGAAAATGTAAAGTGAAACATAATTGTAGATCACACCTGTGGTCTAATTCACACTCACAACGTTTAAAAATAATTTCATCCTTGTTGTTTGTCAAATGTTAAACGAAGACAAATGATGCTCATGAGCGTTGTCAGCATAAATCGGACCACGGCCATAAAGTTCAATTTATTCCTAATTTTTTTTCAATTCTGGAATTGAAAACAGATGACGAATAAATCGAACTTCGATTAAAAGTGGTTAAAAGTAAACCGTGAGTTATGGAACTGGATCTAAACGATTTCCTACCATTATTTACAAAGTCAATTCTGTTGAAAATGAATATCTCTAAGCATTCTTCGTGTAATTCTTATATGTGGTTTAAACCTCTTTATCGTTTTCATCCAGTAACAAAATTGCTACCATGTATATTGCCATTTGATTTTATTTTTGTCTTTAGACTGTGCAAAATTATATATTTAACCTTAAAAGATTAGTCAATTCAGTCGATTCAATCGGCTGTGATGCCTCTCGCTTTATTTCTCAGCCTTTCTTTCTCAAATCTCACAAGAAATTTCTTGCGGAACGAATTTCCCTGAGATTGCTCGCAATTGCACGATGATGAAAGTTAGGGAATCACGTGATGTGAGATGGCTCACATTTTCACCATAATAAAAGTTAGAGAATCGATTCCCTGTGATCTGTTTTCTGTTCTTGTATTAAACTGCACTAACACTCTTTTTCTCACTTTCACAAATATCAAACTGTGGAGACACGTTACACTTACACACACACATACACACGCACACGCACGCACTCACGCACACACACACAATCCTTCAGTCATACTTCAACCATACTTTTATACTCGCTTAGACTCACATACTCTGCGATCAGATGGCGCGCTCACACAAAACACCATGCCGAATTACCCATCTAGATGGCTACCCTTCTTCGCGCTTGACGACACACGAGCCAAGTCGGACTCGACGTACACAATTGCGATAAATATTATATTATTAAATAAACATTGTTATTTTACAAATCCGAGTTTCCTCCAATACCTTCACGCATTGTATCCGCTACAAAACCTATACCTATCTCATTTCAAGTTCCAAAAGTGTATACTAGTTTAACCAGAAAACAGACCTCTAGTGCAGCCAGTACAGTAAATTCGTATACTGAGTTCTGTTGCACTGAAATAAAAAACCGTCGCTGGCGCCATTTTGGGAACAGAGATCGATTGCATATCATCGTCGAATATTTTCACTTCTAGCACTTTCACCTCACGTGAAAAAATGCGCGATTGGCTTGATGAGCATAGTGAAAATACGATATCTCTATGCTTAGAGTGAAAATCATAGATTGAATGCGAAATGCAAGCAATACATAACGAAAGTGATACATAACATTTGTTGTGACGCACGTAAGCACACACACGTGTATATGTATAATTTATAACAAAATATAAATTATTTCAACATTTTAGGAATATTTATGAACAATATATTATTCAAATAATTAACATAAGACTTGTTCACGTTGCTTGCACTTTTTGTACTTAGCATCTTCGCTTTCTCTCCTTTCAAAACTATTGGGTCATCTAAAAAGCATCCGCGGTTTTTTGTCACTAGATGTGTTGATGATCATATATCTAGTGACAAAGTACCGCGGATACTTTTTAGATGACCCAATATATTAGGTGTTGGAATTAATTCGTAGCGTTTTACAAGTGATGGGAAGTACTTTCATTAATGTATTTTTTAATGCTCATGTGAAATAAATAACATTCTTTCATTAAAAACGCTACGAATTAATTCCAACACCTAATATATTTATTTCATTTTAAGTGCAAAAATATTTGAGAATTTCATGCAACATGAACAGACTTACAATAAAATTACCTATAAGGTTAAACAGATCTTGTCCAATAATATTTTTGAGTAAATTTTATAAACTTTTTTTATAAAAAATTTTATAAATTAATTTTTGTTTAAACTGGAAATTTTAAAATTTACGCAAAAATATTATAAGATATGAAGATTTGCTTCGACCAATTATTAGCCATTTCATCATCTTAATTATTTAAATAATTTACATATTTATATATATTTAATATATTTATATATTTAATATATTTATATATTATATATATACTTAATATACATACTTAATATATTTATATACTAATCTATATAATTGTCTTAAATGTATTGTCTGGGATTTCAAATGTATCTTGAGTATCCCGTAATTGTCTTCTTATTAATTCAAATGTCTTTTGCGAATTTTATTATTTTCATTATCATTTTCTTCCATACAAACATAAAAATAATGTCCATTGTTGGAAACAATAATCTATGTCTTTAAGACTCGGTTGTTTCATCTTTTGGTAAATTTTATCTATTGAGTAAGTAGTAAGATTACCCAATTACATATGCGGATTGCCAGATTTACGTAACAGACAAAATTTACCAAGAGGTGGAACAACCGGGTCTAAGTAGAACCGATTTTGACAAATTTCAACTAATTTCGATCAATCTCGACACGCTTTGATACCATTTGATACAATTCGACATAGAATTTTCTTGTCGAGCAATGTCACGTGAGAAATGTCACATTTCCACTATGATGAAAATTAAATCCAATCAAAAGGTCGATTCTTCAAGGCTATGGTCGAAGTCTCGCTACAAATGCTTTGAAACATTTGATGGACCAATTAGAAGAAAGATTTTTACAAACTGATCAATTAAAAAACGCTTCAAAGTATTTACATCGCGTACCTCAAACAAGGCGAAAATTACAAGAGCGAGCAAATTTACTAGGTGTTGACCAATGAAATAATCAGCATTTTAATAAATTCGCTCACTTTTATAATTTTCACCTCATCTCGAGATACAGAATCAATCCCCAAGTGAGAGCTCACTTTTATCATTTATATTGGGTCATCTAAAAAGTATCCGCGGTACTTTGTCACTAGATATATGATCATCAACACATCTAGTGACAAAAAACCGCGGATGCTTTTTAGATGACCCAATACTAGGGTTTCGAGATACAACACAATCGACTTCCTGAAAACATTTTAGTGTACACTTTTTGAAATAGTGCAACCAGTGCAGGAACAGAAATCGAACTATGGTGTAGAAGGCACGAATGCGAAATCGGACTGTGTCGAACTGTCAATCATGGCGGAATTGTGCTGTTTTTGGTTACCTGGCAATGGCGTCCTTCCGCTCTTGACTCTTATTAGAGAAACTCTACTGTGAGCTATCGAGTCTCATCGAGAGCGGGTCTTTCCCGGCATATCCACATTCTACTGTCGTACGTCGTTGGTATATTTTGAATGAGCGAATCGTCTCGTTCAACTGACACAAATGGACAAATCGCGAAACGGGAGTGTACCACGAAAATGAAATGAACGTCACAGCATTCTTCTTGCCTCGTATTTCTTAATTCTCGCTTTCGATAAGTCAACCGTCAAGAGAAACAATAGTTGTTAAGAAGAAAATAATCTAACCTGATCTTAGCATCCACCATATCTGGATAAACGGTATTACAAAAACTCCCTAATAAATGTCAAGCGACGTAGCGCAACGAAGGAAGTCGGTCACCAACGCTATGAAAAACTTGACTCTTTTCTCCGAAACAGGACATTTTTCGGAATCTTCCTCTCGACGAGAACGGAAGGCGAATTTCCAAGAACGTTGAACGGCGTGTAAACGCGAGGAATCGAAGATTCTCTATTGCGAGGAAATAAGAATTTAGAAGCCGCGTGTCGTCGCGGACGATCACTCGACGTGGACGCTTGTTTACGCACGAATCAAAACATCAATGACCTTGAAAGCCGCCGCGTCACGTGACCGGGGAGAGAGAAGCGCCGATTGGTTCGCGGAGGCCGCGTACAACGTGTATTGCGTCGTGCTCGTTGCGCGGCCCGCATTCCTCGTCCAATAGGATTCGCGCGCGTTGGGCCGGGTGGCGCGAGGGGAGGAGGGAGGGAGGGAGGGAGGACGGAACGAGGTGGACAAGAGCGAGCCGCGAACGGCGAGGACGACGACGAGGAGGACGACGAGGACGACGGTGGTGGTAGCGGCGGCAACAGCGGCAGCAGCAGTGGCGACGGTGAACGGTAACGGTGATTGTGGCGGTGACGAGGACGAGGACGAGGACGAGAACGAGAACGAGGACGACGACGGTGGCGGCGACGGCGACGGTGACGGTGACGGTGATCGAGACGGTGCGCCGTGTTGGTCGGTGGCGTACGCCGTACGTGTTGTTGGTGCGTGTGTTCGTGCGCGAGCGCGGTTGGTCGGTGGCTCGCGTTGTTGTATCCAAGATGAAGTCCGACTCGAAACCTTTGTTGACAGCTCAGGCGGAAAAGGCGAATCATTACACGTAAGTAGCGGCCGGCCGGACCGCCCCGCCGGGCAACCTTTGTGAGACCAAGTGCGATAACTCGGCGCGATCAGCGATGGAACGCGATGCTGCATGTCGCGCCCGCCGATACTCTGCCTGTGAGAAAGAAGTAATAGCGAGGGGAAGAGTGAGAGAAGGGCGGTAAGCGAGGGAGCTGACGAGTTGGCCGTTTCATATGCCGGGAAGTGCGCGGATCATCCCGAAAGTGCAGTGCGAAGAAAATTAATCAAACATATTGTGAGAGAGGGTGGGTGGGAGGGAGGGATTAAAAGTAGAAGGTAACGGTGCGGTTAGAGAGGGAACAGAGTGGGATAGAGAAAGAGAGTGAGAGAGAGGGCTGTGCGAACGTGAGAGTGAGAGAGTGAGTGAGTGAGCGAGCGAGCGAGCGAGCGAGCGAGCTAGCTAGCTAGCTAGCGAGAGAGAGAGAGAGAGAGCCGCGAGCAACGAACGCGGCCTATACACGACTACGCGACTACGCGACGCGCGCGTCCTACGATTCGCAAAAATACATGTATGAGCGATGAGAGAAAGAAAGAGAGAGAGATAGAGACGCGGCGGTGGTGGCGGCGGCGGTGGCGGCGGCGGCGGCGGCGAAGGCAGCGTGGTGGCAGAGGAGCGTGGCAACCTCCAAGTACGGGTGAAAAATAATGTCTAGCACGGTGGATTCGCATTCCAGATACTTGAAGGAGTTCCGCGTCGACCAGTGTCCCCTCTTCATACAGCGCAAATGTACGCAGCACCGACCGTTCACGTGCTTCAACTGGCACTTTATGAACCAGCGGAGACGCAGGCCGGTGAGAAAGAGGGACCGCACCTTCAACTACAGCGCCGATAATTATTGCACCAAGTATGACGAGACGACTGGCATCTGTCCCGACGGAGATGAGTAAGTTTCTTTCTTTGCCTCTGTCTCTTCTATTGCGCATCGCGAATCGCGACGCGCGACGTAGTACACATTCTCGGTTTGTGCTGCTCGGCTTAGCTGTGCGTAAGAATGGATACGACGTGCGTCGTACGTGGATTCTTGGATAAGAACACGTAATGGCAGTAGAGTGCATTCACGACGCGACGATTCTACTTTCATGAAAGGTCACTGTTGTGTGGTGGTATCGTTAAACGCCAGTATTTCTTTCGCATCGCAAAGTATTGCGCGCGATACGTACGTGGTGCGTCTATATACACACACACACACACATATATATACACACACATATACACATATATATATACACATATATATACACATATATAATATAACGTAATGCGACGACATGTATACGTAGCGTTGCTGTCACGGCGTACGTGTTTACGTTCCGACGACTCTTTCATCCCCTTCGAAGAGAAACAATTGTTCGGGTCTTCAGCGGGGATCAGGAGCGAAATGTGGAAAAAGATACAGCGCATATCGTACCACAGAATTGTGTACTACGTTCTTTCAGTCGCAGCAGTCGCGCGGACTACGTATATAGGGGGAACCGATTGTTACAGTTTTTGATTTTTAAAAAAAGGTCGATGCCTGATTTTGAAATATTATGCACGTTATTACATGTGCCTATCCTTTAGGTATTTAAAAAAATATTATTCGTGAATTCGTCATAAAATAAGTTAGGTATTTAATATTGAATGAAGCTGCGAAATTAACCCCGTGTTCTGGATTGATTGTCACGTTCAAGGATTGGCAGTAACCAGTAATATCAAAAATACAATTTTTATTTTAATTATCAATTCTATATTTTGAGAAATAATAAAGAGTAATTATGATATTAATTCAATTAAAATGATGCGTAATTTGTTTTTGTACCGTAGTTTCTATATGAAAAATGAAAAAAACATATCTATGTGAAATATAATATATTTGTAAGTATATTCTCTAAAAATGTATTCTCTGAAGATATTAAAATTAATTGTTTTAACTTTATCTCATTTCTGACAATCTCATTCCACATACCTCATTTTTAATGAAAGAGATTGTATTCACAAACTTCAAGTAAATGGATAATGATTAATTGTAGCACAGATCTTCCAAGACATGTTATTTTCTACAGGGATATCGCGATTAATAGTGCCAAAGACTTGTCAGACAACAATACAAATAGGTGATAAGAAAAATTTACTCGCCAACTTCATTTTTTTAAATCATTATAAATAATATGTACAATGCTTGTGGTGCAAATCATTTTACACGACAAATTAATATTATATCAACAATCTACAGTCAAAAGAAGAGATTTTTCTGTCACATCCTGTTTAAGTTACAAGTATTTTGACAATCAACCCCGTACAACCAGCCCCGGTCTCCCCTACATGAATGAAAGTTTAAATCTGTTCTTTTTACCTGTCAACTTGTCATTTTTTTCTTTTCTTCTTCAGTACAAAGAGAAAAGGAAGAAAGATGAGCGGTGCAAGAAATTCAGCTAAAAAGAACAGGCCTTGTATATTTTGCAATATAATTTCTGCTTACGATTCGGCTAGAAGTGCGTTCTATTTGACGTTCACAAGCTGGCGAGCGTTGTTTATCTTTGTCTAACATTTGATTAAAAAGGATGAAATTATTTTAAAACATTACACGTATGTCAAATGTTTACGTGTTATAGCATACGATTCAATGTTGCGTATTGGATTTGTTAAAAGTTATTCTCGTATATTGCGGTTTTCTTGACATTTTAGTCATAATTTCAATATTTCTTTGTATTTTCTTTCCAAAAAATTCTTCTTAACTCTCTTTCTGTACTTCTAAAAAATTTCCCAAAAAAAAAACATCTAAATTTAAGGGAAAATCCCCCATCCTGGCAATGAATTTGCGCAGAATTTAAAATTCTACAAAGCCTGTGTTACATTAAATATTGGAGATTGGTTGAGATCTTAACTTCAGTCCGTTTCGCTGTTCGATTAACTGAATTCTAATCTTCAATTCGCAGTTCTCAATCTCCAATGTGTAATGTGTGTGAGATGGGCTTAGGGCTTAGGACTTAGGGGCTTAAGGTAAAGCAGCAGGATTTATACATATATGATTTACGTATCATTGACATACATCATATAAATTTACACATACACACAAATTTCCTAATTAATCCTTTAAGTATCTAAGCCCAATTTTAAGAACTCAACATTGTTTGTTTAATTCCTTTATATAGTCCAAATCAAGATTGTTTTGTACGTACAAAATATAAAACAAATGTTGTTACGAATCGACGCGAGAAGCCGGATAACCAGACTGTAATTTTCAACTTTTTTCCATTCTTTTGCATAAAGTCACTTTGGACTACATAATCATTTATACTTCAATTGTGGAAAAGGATATTTTTAATCTGTGCATATATAATACATATATATAAATAAAATTTAAAAAATACTTATTTGAAAAATAATCGTTAAAATAGACAACTCATTTAATATCCCTTTAAGTCGTGTTACTTTTTGTTCTCGTACTTTCGCTCTCTTTCTCTTCAACGAATAGACAGGATGTTTCAGACTACCCAGCGTATATGCACTCATTTATTTTCAAAATAAATTATGAAGAAATAAACTTTATTATTTATCTTCAATATCATTTCGAGATCAATATAGGCATTTTCAGAAGAAAATTTTACAGCGAATTCAGTAGGAGGCACACAAAAAAAAGACTATTCTTAAATCAACCATAATACGCTCACATTTAAACAAATATATTATAATCTTGCTTTCAAAATTTTAGTCTTGATTTCATTGAATTTGTATTTATGCAAGTATTACTTTGTATTCAATTTAAAGGGGCAAGATCAAGTAAATAGCTAAAAATTCATCAATTTTCGGGAAATTATTGTGAAAAATGTATTGAATAAATCTTTTTGAAACTTTTAGTATACTTTAGTATTTAATTGAAAATTTAAAATAAAAATTTTTATTTTTATAAAATATATATTTAAATATTAATATTATAAAAATGTATGTCCAATTCCATTAGAAAAAAAAAAGATGCTCTGTGCCATGGAGTATAGGAACTGCTATTTTTATCTGAAATCAAAAATTCAAAATGTATTAGTTAATGAATATACGCTTAGCATGAACCTTTTGAAATTAAAAAAGGGTAAAAATGAAAAAATAGTGACAAAAAAAAGGTGCATTTTAAGACAAATGGTACTAAAAAAAGTAATTGTTTATTTCAAAAATATTTATGTAAAAACAGGTTTGCTGTTAAAGAATATGTGTACATGAGAAGAAATTCGTTGTTTAAAAATTGTTTGAGTTACATTCCATGTCGCTCGAAAATTGCCGTTTCGAGAAAAACGCGTTTAAAGTTTTCGATACAGAAAAATAACATTTTTTGAAACTTACAGCTGTTTTAATCTGCAATGCCAAGTCCATACATCAATCCTTCTTCCTCAAATGTAGTAATAAAGTCGCCTGTTGCTCTTGTCGAGCAGTTCTGGCCTCTTTCGTGCTATCGACGCGTGTTTATACCTGCGGGTACCGCTCGGCACAGAAAAAAGGCCGCCGTCATTAAAAGCACTAACTGTAGTTGCCTTAATTTTCGAATTCACTTCTGCAACTTCGACATTTTGTTCTATATGTTACATATTATTGATTTGTTACATACTATTGATTGAAAAAAAAATTTCAATTTTTTCAATTTTCTACTTCTTTCTCTCTCCCCCTCCCCTCCTCCCCTTTAAGACTTGTTCTCAATAAAAAAATCTTACAATACAATTATATCAAAACTAAAATTTTTGAAGCAAGATTGTAATATTTTTGTTTACACATATATGAAAATATTATGGTAAAGTCTTTTTCTGTGCATTACTTAAAGCCATTGTACACTGATTTAATTTAAGTGAATATAAAAGTGTAATGAGAATATTTCGAATTATAAAATCATATTTCACTTAACAACATTATAAAATGTTTTGAGGATTTCACAGTTTTAATCGGTTTTTATATTATCAAATACATATCTTTACGTCAATTTGTGCATGGACATTATTTGAAAAAGATGCATTTTAAATGAAAATACAAAATGGAAAATGCCTTATTTTATATTTTGTATTTAAAATTTTTTCGAAAACTTTTACATTTCTATTTAAATGATTTTTATTGCCTATTTTCTATTTGAAATACGTTTATAAGTTGGCACTAATAATTCTAGCAGATTAGCACGATTAACGTCGCACATGACGCGCGATATCTAATAAGCATACAACTTTTCTGAACAATTTATACGCTCATTTGACATCACTCATCGCGTGGTAGCTGTTAGGATCATAAGAGCCCATGTCTGTGTCAATTACGTCTGCATTGTGGTGTCAGCCTTTTTCAAAAACTATGTAAATTTTTTGTAAAAATTTATCATGATAAAAAATATTAAAAATAAGAATTCGAATACGAGATAAAATTTAAAAATAGATAATATAAGAATATGAATATTTAAAAAATTGTTTTTATTTAAAAAAAAACTCTTCAAAAAAATGGCAATTTTCTATTTCAAATGGATGTCTAAACAGCATTTTGTATTTTATATTTTCAAATGGAAAGATCACAATATATTTTACATTTCCTATTTTAAATAGATTTTACTGATGTGTATTATATTTTACTTAAATATGTATACATTTTCCAATGAAAGAAATAAAGTCGATTAAATTAAAATTTACTCAAACAATTTTTTTCAGCGTACGATGGCTTTAATGTGTGCAGTGCATATTGAATGCGTCCAATTGAATTCGATATGAAAAGTGTTTCTTATCTATTTGCATGTAATTCGAATCTGTAATATACCTATATAAAAAATACCTACATGTTACATTTAGAAGATTTTATAGAATAGTTCCGTTTCCGGTCGAGGGATTGGAAATTGAAAATATCACCATTCGATAAGAGTGTACTTTATCAAAACTTTTAGGATTTTTCAGAAAAATTACTTCCTTTTATTTTAAAAAGAATGTATGCGTGATCTGGGCCTCATGTATATTCACCTCATTTCGAATGCAAAAATTTTGTGAGATTCAAGTAACAGACTTATTCTCTTACAATCTACGGCGCGAGCAGTTTGTTTATAAATCGGAGACTAGAGAGAAAACGGATAGATCAATAATTTCATTTATCACGCATTCTAGAGTAACATGAAGTCCCTAGATAAGAATCTGATCATTCACCGAATTCGCGCTTAATCAAGCTTCGTAGTAACATGGCGGAATCAATTAGAATCACTGCAAAAGTCAAGTTAAATTAAACAGAAGAGATACAATAAATCACGAAACAATTTTAAATGTAGATTTTTTTTATTCTCTTTCATGTTTTCTAAAATTTTATAATAACAATACATTAAAATTTACTTTAGTAATATATCAATACTTACTAGTACCTCTCTCAGACTTACAAACACCATTTCATTACAAAACTAGTCTCAATGTTTAGGACTCTTATTTAGAGATTCTGGAGTAGCATCCGCTCTCAAGCGTTAAAAATATTTATGCAAATGTAGGACATAAACATAAAAGCACATAAACGAATAAATACAGCAACAATACAAGAACAAGAATAGCTGTTTATTGAACGATTTGAGATGAGATCCTCTCATAGTAAACATTACAATTATAATCAATACAACAAGCAAAAGTCTGTGAGTATCAATAGAAAACTCAGGTGTAAAGAAGTGCACAAAACACAAAATAAAAAGAAAAAAAGAAGAGGAAGAAAAGAAGAAACAAAGACACGTGCTTCGTCATCTCCTCGTTTTTATTGGTCGTTGACACATAACGTAACTTACATACAGATAATGCGCGGTTCTGCCTCGGTAAAAGACGTGAACATTTTTGGCCAAAACAATGTTTCCGACACACAAATTCCTTCCTGATAATAATAATAATAATAATAATAATAATAATAATAATAATAATACTCGATAATCCCATGACAATAAATCTTTCTCGGCGAGAATGCAATCTGGTGTTCTCGGTCATGGCGCGAATTCTTAGAATAACTTCTTTCTTTGTCATCAGAATTCCTTTGGGATTTCTTCGATTTCAAAATGGAGAACACGTCTATCGGTAGTTTGCACTATCGATTATACATACCGGCGTGCCTTTTGCCCGGAAACAATGATGACACTGTAACATTGCGTAGTTAATTCCGCACTTTATTTAACTTTTAAATTAACATACATGTTTAACGCTTTGTATCCACGCTTTGTTTTGCAACTTTGTTTCCATGATAGTAAATGCTTACATGCGCGCGCGCTCCGAAATACGCATTCAAACTGCATAAACAGGTGGACATTCACAATCAACATTGCCAATTACAAGTCACGATCGATTTTTTAAATTACAAGGAACGAAATAGCTCGATTTTCATTTGTTGAAATCGAATAAATTTCACATATGTATACTTACACAACAATTAATTTCTCTAGTCTCTTACGTTTCTTTGTGTAAGCGTCATACACAAGTTAGTTAACATTGAACAATTTGTTAAGCAGACTGCAGTTGAATTCGATTAAATAAAATTTGTTGAATTAACCAAATCTGCAAACAACTAAATGTGTTTAGTTAATTGAACAAATTTTTTTTCAGTGTAGTAACAATTTTGCAAGAATATTACGGAAAAATCGTATTACGTTTTTCTATATCTTCGATTTTACGCATATTTTACGGAAATATCGTCGCATGAGATTTAAATGATGGTTCATCGATATCCTTTAAATTGGCCGAGAATTATTTTTATAACTGTGAACTTTTATTGCTCGGTATTCCACGTAAGATGATTTTTCATTGATTTTTCATTGAGCAATTGTCCATTGAGCAATTCTCAAATTGTGTGAATTTCTTCCCCAAAATTCCCAACGTTACGAGTTGACGAACAAAGGAAGCCTACTCTTATCGATTTTCCTTCTTGTACTTGGTACGATGACATAACAAAGGATCACATGTATCTAAACCTTATTCGGATATGTTGTACTTTTTAATTATTTTTAACTATATTTTCTGATTTTTTAAAAATAATTTTTTTAACTTTAGGAAATTGTTTGTGTTATTTTCTTTTGACATATACATGTATAGTTACATTTTGAAATGATATTTGTAAGTCCGCGATGAGAATAAGAGAAAAAAAAATGGAATATACCGAAAGTCTAGAGCACACATTAAATTTAATATCACTGAGGATTGTGAGTGTGACTATTAATGATTGGAAGAAAAAAAGAGAAGAGCGCAAAAAAAAGTGTAATGTTTTTTTAAAGTTTAAGAGGATCCTAAAGATGATTAGATATATAGATACTTACACACAGACGATTTACATGATATTGACATCACTACATTAATATCTCACTCACGCCACACATCACATAAATTTTCGTATAACAATTATGTTTTAATTAGACGTTCAAGTCCAATTATAAGAACTCCATGCTGTTTCTTCATGCAAACTAATAGTCTGTAGACTACTATTTCGAAAGTATAGATTGCACAGCTTTTTATGAAGCAAATGTTGAGACGGCTCTGGAGTGCCATATTGAACTAATTGTAAAAAGTAAAGAAGATTTCAATTTCGAAATTTTTAGTCGTTCTCAGCATAGATTCCACCTCACAGACACTTATTAATGCGTATGCTTTAATCCTGGAAAAGGATTTTCAAATCAGAGTAAGAGAGAAAAAAAGTAATTGTTATACGGTTAAAAATTATATGGTTTAGTCGGTAATACAGACGACTTTAGGATCCCCTTAATCGAAGACGTAAAAATGTTGTCTTGCTAAACAGATGTCCGTTTCTGCATCGTACCGCGGGCGACACAGAGAGACGTTATCATCTACGCTACTACAAGACATGCATGTGCGTCCACGATACCGACACGCGTGGATTTTGCGTGAAGAATGGCCCGCATTGCGCTTTTGCGCACGGAAATCATGACCTGCGCCCGCCCGTGTATGACATCAAGGAGATTCAGGCGCTGGAGAATCCGGACTCAGACCCAAACTCCTCATCGAATGGGCCTAACATACTCGACAAAGAGCGTAACTTGATGAACGAGGATCCAAAGTGGCAGGACACGAACTACGTGCTAAGCAACTACAAGACCGAGCCGTGCAAGAGACCACCGCGGCTATGCCGGCAAGGCTACGCCTGTCCGCAGTATCACAACAGCAAGGACAAACGACGCAGCCCACGGAAATATAAGTATCGGTAAGTATCGATATCGAAACCAGTTGACACGGACGACGCCAAGTCGAATAACGCCTAAATTATGATGTTTACCTGGAATTTTTAGAAAATTTTTTTTATCCTTCGATATAAAATGTAGAATTTTCATAGAACTTTATTGTTACTCAAGTTTTTAGAATTTTAAATTTACTTTTAAATTTAAATTCTATCTTTCTGAAAACATTGGCTATGTTCAAGTTGGACGAAAGTGCTTACTTGCAGCCGAGTGATTAAATCGATTGAATCTTCTGATAAGTAAGAACCAATCATGTTCAAAACATTGTTCGGCGAGCAGGCTAGCTGCTTTGTCAGCTTGAACACGCTTATTATTTTCTTTAATCATTTTTTCATGATGATAAATGTCGACAATCGGTAACAATAACGAGCATGGTATATTGGTATATTGGTATACACACTCGCATACATTCTCGTGTCTCGCGAGTTTTTATTTAAAAAATTAGGGTGAAGCAGTAGAAAATAATATTCTGCAGAAAAGAGTAGCTCACTGATACTCACTGAGAGAAAAATGTAAATTTTAATAAGTAATTATTTGAATAGTACTAATATAACATTTATTTACAGAAAATAAATATATGTTTACTTTTAATAAATATTTAACTGGTACTATTCGAATTATTTACTAAAATTTAGTACATTTTCTCTCAGCGTATATTATAATGAGTCTTCTCTATCCTATTATAAAGTTTCATGGCTCCAATTGTGTAAAATGATACAATATATAAATACATATAACGAATTCGATCGAATGCACTACTGAATGCAAATATATATTTCGTATTGTAGAGTATATATTTTATAGTACTCACAAAACAATAAAATATATTGAGAATGTCATAGTTTAAGCTTTGACTATGATTTTTCAATGATGTTTTAAAGTGATCTTATTACTTTGTTTTAAATTTTCTTTGTTTACAAATGATATATGCAAGAAATTTTAACGCGTCATTTCTTACTTATAACGTCATTATCCAATATGGCCGCGGCGACTACTCCGAAGCTTAATCAGTTTTTATACTTATATTGACTACATCTTTAATTTGTGTACGACAACTTTAACATTTATCGCTGCACATTACTTGTGTCCAATCGAATTCGTCAATAGTCTGGAATCTCTACTAATTTATAATATATGATTTACGTTACTCGCATTCCAATTTATTTCAAAGTTGCATTAAAAATTTGTTTAATCTTGCCTGGAATTTTGAGTAATATCTGGAAAAAAAATTTCAGAAATTTTCAAAAAGTTTACTTTTTTTTACACAAGATTTCCTGTAAATAATCCCATTATCCTGTAACATATCCCATAAATGTTAACGATGATTGCAGCTCAACGCCATGCCCGAATGTGAAACACGGCGAGGAATGGGGCGAGCCGGGCAACTGCGAACAGGGAGACGCGTGTACGTACTGTCATACTCGCACGGAACAGCAGTTCCATCCTGAGATCTACAAATCCACCAAGTGTAACGACGTGCAGCAGGCTGGTTACTGTCCGCGCGGCGTCTTCTGCGCCTTCGCGCATGTTGACCGTGAGTGTACACTCATCAATCGTACGTAAAACAGTCTTATTATATATTTTGTGAGTTCAATAATATTGTGCATATATGGCGATAGATATGTAGAGTTTACATACGCGTCTACCTGGCTGTTCCGCGACTGTCTGCGACACGGTCGCAAAATGATCCGTTCTCTCCTCGACGCGGCGGGTAATAATATCGTGGTACTAATACCACGGTCGTTCGCTCGCGAGTCCTTTCCTTTTGAATTACGTTTGGAATACACGTAGAGAGTCGACTTGATAAATGCTAAATCTTAGCCGTCAAAATTGTTTCTCAAAATTGATATATTGGGACGTTGGTATGGTGTGTTGATGGAAGCAGTGTTGCCAACAGAAGAAATGAGCCTGGCGAGGGATATGGCGGTACCTATAGATTGTGGAGCGAATCTGGCCGACATACTCAGCAATGCTCTTCCTCCTGACAAGCGCTCGCATGACAAGGACAAGCCACTTAGTGACAGTAGCGTGAGTCTCGATTCTCTACACATCATCGTAGTTTGCTTTCAAGGACTCACATAGGACTAGATAAAAAAAAATTGGAGTAAAATAGTGAATTTGCTTGTCAAATTGAAAGAATTTAATTTATATTATTTAATTTTTTTTATCACAAATTTTCATGCGTTGAAATATATCATTGCTTGACTAACTTGCAGAATGGAAGCGGCGAAGTCTCGGAATCCGCCAGCACCAGCAGTCTGGGTAGCAACAGCTCGCACAGTAAGGCGCCAGGCGCTCAACTACACAATTCCAATAATACCAATTCCGGCATAAATGCCGCGCAGCAGAAACTTACGAGCATACTTTACAACCCTAATTCCCTTATACAAGTTGTAAGTTTTGTTTTTTGGACATTTTGGACATGTAGGTCGCAGAACGATATGATGATACTTTTGAGAATGAATTTAGAATAAGAGACAAAGGACCGTTAAGGTTTCGCATGAGCGTAAATAAAATTTAGGTGCAATTAATAAATTATAATAAAGTGTACATATACGGGGTCTCTCGAACTTTTTGGACACCGTTTGTCGGCAGCTAGGATGGACTAAACTGAGTCGAAAAGTTCTCTACCATTTTGTAATTTTTTATAATTTTTGCATTTTTTGCATTTTTTTCAGTTACCCAATGAACAAAACGTCTAAAATTGAAACAACTTTACGATATCTTTAAAAGTTCTTTAAGGAATATCTTTAAGATTCTTATTTTCTATCGGTTGTGTTATCACATGTACGGTCTAATAAGATTCTTATTATTTATATTACATTGCCTGAAAGAAAGATCATTGTTTTCATATATATACTAATTATTATGAAGAATATTATTAAGGTCTTAGTAGTCTAAAGGCTTAGGACGCTCGTACAGAATGCTAGAGATCCGGGTTCGAGATCCCGAGGTAATATTTTTTGCAATAAATAAATTTATTTACAGATTTTCAACGTATTAAGGCTCCTGAATAGTCGCAGCGGCCATGTTGGAATCGTGATATCATAAGTGTGAAATAACACGTTGATTTTTCTTGCGTGCCATTTGTAAATAAAGAGCAATTGAATGAAACAAAATGATGAGAACACTTTAAAAAAGTTGTGAAAATTGAAGAAGACTCTCCTTATCTTCCCTTACAGTCAATAGATAAGCAATAAATAGTCATAAGGACACGTAAAGTAAAGGCTTTTTCAGCAAGAAACACACGATTTGACAGCTGTTGAAAGTAGTGAAAAATATACTTTTACGTATAAAATTCCAGGATAACTTGAGTCTCCATTGATTTTTACGATTTTGATAAGTATGAGACAAGTCACAGTTTTATATATATTATACTTAATAACAAAATGGCATGCAAGAAAAAATTTCGACGTCAACACGTTATTTTTCATGCCTATAAGTTTAGCTATTTATCACGGCGAGGCGCTGTAACGCACACAAGTACGAGCCCATGTACATATGCTCGCTTTCGACGCGCCGAGAGTATCAATTTCATCAGGCCGTCTGATTCTGTGTCGCCACTGTCAACGCAAAGTTCTTGGCTGAGTACTCAGGAACCTTAAGATCTCTTTAACAGATACCTATTCAGCATCAAAATTTAATTGTGATATTTCAATAGTTTAATTGTGTTTTTAAGTCGCGAAAAAAATAATTCAGCGCACAGTTCAAATATGGTAAATGTGCGTGTACACAAATACACACACACACACACACACACACAGAGGGTGTTTTTGTCAATCGCTTTTGTGTAGAGCGGACTAAACTGAGTCGAAAAGTTCTCTCGAGAAAAAAATTCTCTGATTAAAAATTCTCTTCCTTATTAGAAGAAAATAAATAATTTTTATGTCTTGCAGCTTTTCTATTAAGTTGATAGTATTTGAGTAAAAAATTATTCAAAATCAATATTTGGTAATTTTCAGTAATTAATATCTTGTTAACTATTGCGAAAATTGCAAAATGATAAAGGACTTTTCGACTCAGTTTAGTCCACTCTATCTACACAAAAGCGATTGGCAAAAACTTTCGGGACACCTTGTGTATATATAGTATTTTCAAATTCACATTGAATTATTTAAGCATTAAAGATCCAACTTCGACCGTTATGAGCCTTTATTTCCGATTTTCATCTTTAAGATATTTTATAAAGAATTCTGAAAGATATCTTAAACTAGTTTTATATATCGATTTTATTTCCTAAGACTCCTAAGAAGTCATCACAGCCATAATGTCACAATCGTAGGCAGAAACGAGAACACATTAATTTTATTACGTGCCATTTGTAAATGAAGACAATTTGTATAAAAACGAAATGATGAGATAATTTTAATTAAAATAATTGCAAAAATAGATGAAAGCTATCCTTATCTCCCCTGACAGTTAGTAAATAATCGTAATGATAAAAGGCACATAAAGTGCTTCAATACGCATGGCTAGCCTATTTTTACTTACACGTGCCCTTTATCACTTTTTACGATTTACTGACTGTCACAGAGAAGGATGAGCATAGTTTCCATCCATTTTTATAAATACTTTAAATTGATCTCATTATTTTGTTTTATCCAAATTGTCTTTATTTGCAAAAATTAATGTGTTATTCCTCGTTTTTGACATCACAATTCAATATGATCATTCAGGAGCCTTAAGCGAATGAAATTGTCGCATAAGACAGACTTTAAAATATCTTTCGCAATTCTTTATGAAATACAATTATATTTCTTTGATTGCTCGGGAGCTTTAATCTTTAGAAATTAAATCTCGTTAATTATGGCGAATACTGCAAAATGATAGAGAGCTTTTCGATTTAATTTAGGCCTGTCTATCTGCTCACAAGCGGTGTGTCAAAAAGTTTGAGACACCCTGTAGATGTATAAAATAATTGTATTTATATCACCTTGTTTTTATTTTGGATTCTAAATTTATTTTCTGTATTATTAGCAAAATGTTCCAAAATTCACAACTCGGAATACTGTAATAAGACAGTTCTCGAAAAATTAAGTAAAAAAATCATTTGTAAATTTTTATTTTAAACAGTAGTTTTTGAGATAGAATTTAAATGTGATAGATTATATAGATTATCTTTATACACAATTATCAGTGAGTATTAGGATAGTGTGCCCACGCACTAAGGCTTTATCTAATAATCGCACAGTCTATATTACAGATCGCAAGCTTGTTGCGACAGCCAATCTGATGCATCAATATTAGATTATTGTAAATGAAATCTAATACTACACGCACGACTCGTAAATAAGTAGCCGTCTAAACGTAATCTACAAATTAACTATATTTAAATCCTCATCTGTACTATCTCGTATCTTAAAAACTGCTACTTAAAATATAAATTTATAAATAACTTTTGAGAACTTTCTTGCTACAATATTTTGAGTCGCAAATTTTGAAAGACCGTATAATTTAAAATTATATATGTACATATGTAATTTTATATCGTATATATGGATTATATGATATAATTGATATTTATGTTCTTGATGTTGATTTCGATAGAATGAAATTCGAAAGCAAATGGTCGCCATCGACAGCGATCCGTTATTAACTAAAGCTGAAAAGGCCCAACAAAAACATAGTCTCTATATTGCGTACAATTTGAACGGAACATTAGGCAGTCACTCATTAGCAACCACTGTTTCACCACTTTCAAATTCGTTCTACTCAAACGATACTGTGGAATCTGTAGTAGGTAAGTATATGATATTATTCATGTTTATTTATTATTTATGTTTACATGTTATACAATAACTAACACAATTTGATTTTTTTTTCTCAGGAAATGCATTAGACGAGTTACATTTAGACGATCCATTAAATTTAGTCGACTCAATTCATAGGGATACAAATTCACCGATTGGCAATTCAATATCGGCAGGCCTAGCTAGCTCCGGTCTACTCGGTAGCTCAGCCCCAGTCAATATACCGGGCATGACTGAACGTTCAGTTCTCACCAATTTTTCGCCATCGACGTCGAGCCCACTTCAACAATTACAGGCTGGTTTTCTCACCGGATCGAGATTCTCTCATCAAGATTCCATGGAATCCGTAAGCTGATTTTATTTCTGTTTGTCGATGAGAAAAATCGAGTTGTTTTACTAACTTGATGTTTTATTCGGATTACTTTCAGACATTGCCATTTATGAATCAAATATCAGATCCATTTAGCAATCACATTTCGCAACTTAGCAGCTCGGCTTCTAAGCTTAGTGGATTCAATAGTAGTTTATTCGATTTTGCGAGCCAAGGAATGTCACCGTCGCGTACGCAACCCACTCTACCGGCATCTCCATTGGTCAATACATTTTCCATTAGTCCAAGTAACACAGGATCGTTGTCCGAGGTTAGAATTGCACGATCTTAAAGAATTTCTCTCGGGTATACTATTGAAAATAAGGGAGAGAGAGAGAGAGAGAGAGAGAGAGAGAGAGAGTGATGTATCGATTATATATATATATATATATATAATGTACGTAGTATATGTATATATATGTATATATGTATGTATACATGTATGTATATACATATATATATGTACGTATTGTAGGTACAAAGGCTCAGAGACGAATTGTCCTCGAGCCGCGCTCAATTGGCAACATGGGACGAGCGTATTAATCAAGCACGCGCGGCTTGCGCGGCGTGGCAAATGGAAAGCGAGGAGGCGAAGAGGAAGGCAACCATTGCCGAACAACAAAGAGATGAGGTGAATATCTCGCCTAACTTAGCGTAATTTTTTCTCTCGATATTAAAGTCCCAATTTGCCGTGCTCCAGAGAAGGGATTTTTTGCAGGCACTGAAAGCACTCAGAGTCGAAAACAAGGCGTCCAATGGCGGTCCGTATCTCCATTCACTGAGGAAAATAAGCGAGCTCAGATCATTATCGATAGCGACCTTGAAATCAATTCAATCGCAATTGCGCTCGGATCTCGAAGAGGTGGAAAAGGTAAAAGCTCTTGTTGTCACCATCAACCAGAACAAGTGCACTTGTCAAAGACAAGTCAATGTCTTTCAAGCGAATTGATACGGCTATAAAAATAATAGAATATATATACCTTATTGTCATTATTATATTGTTAGGTGCTGTACAGAGAAACGGCAACAAAGTGCATGGTTTGCGAAGAACAAAATCGTACAGTTACTCTATCCTGCAATCATTATGTGGTCTGCTCGACATGCGCCCCAAATCAGCGCGAGTGTCCGTACTGTCAGACTCCAGTTGTCTCAACAAGTTAAATCTAAATCTTTCCTTAGAATCCTGTTGTTGTTACAATTTCTGCTTCTCGTCCCTTAAAGAAAAAAGAATGAAGAGGCGATAGCAGCCGCAAATTCTGAAAGAATATCATGTGAGTAGTATTACGATTTTGCGAGGACTTGTGTATTTTTACTCTGGTACAGTGACAAAACTGAAAATACGTTTTTTTTATCGCGGTAAGCATGTACCCGCAAAAATACGATTGATTTATCGCCAAAGTGAGTACGAATATTAGAATCTTTATTGGTGTAATCTTAAATTACATTGACATTTTTCTCTCTCGATATACATACATATATATATATATACATATATATATATATATTCAGTGAATATCACAATTTTTTAAATGTAACGCTCTCTGAAAAGCAGCGTTAGCGATCCTAAAAAAGAAAAAATAAAGATGTTTTATTTTATACATAATTCAAGAGATAAATATCTAGCAGGGTGTTAATTATACACATTTAGCGTTTATAACGCAAATATATGCGGGTTACAGAACATTTAGCGCGCGAGAACAATATAATCGCAGTTGTGGACAAAGTTTCGGGACCTCGAAAACTATATAATAATTGTTTAAAGAAAAATTAATAACGTTAATAAACGCAACAAAAAAAGTCTCCCACTTGCATTAAAAAATAATGGGAGGATTTTTTCTCGATGGTTGAGCTGTGAAACGTATGTCACAGAAAAAAATGATATTTCTATTATATTTAAATCTATATATTTAATAGGATTTTCCAATTGATTCGTACTGAATGTAATAATATAAGTATTAACAAATTTTATATTTTTCGTTGAAAACCTAATATTGAAGATATACATATTATATAAGAGGTGTGTGTATATGTATATGTATTATATATACATACATATGTACACATATATATATATATATATTATATAATTTCTAGGTTTTTATATATATAATAACAAAGATTTCTCATATAGTTATAAAGAATATGGGAGTTTACAAAACAACCGATAATTAGATAGCGCTAAAACAATTTTATTATATAAAAGGTATTATATATATATATATATCGTTTGTTTCTCTTTTTTTTTATCTATCGATGTTACTACCGCTTATTTTGTTTTCTCATCTTTTTCTATTTGTTCTGCCTTTCATTTCATTCATTAGATACATCGATGCAGTTTGTTGAAAAACATTTACACTTCGGACATATTGATCGAAGTTTACAATGATGAATATTTTAACAATTTTACGTAAAATACGCTTGCTTTCTTTCGTTCCGTTACGTGGCTTGTACACGTTTCGTACTTTCTGTAACACAATTTACTTTTAAATCTTAAATATGCTTAATTGTGTACTAGTATTTGCGATGGAGTTATTAGAAAACATTTAAATTAAATAGTGTGTGATAGTAACGAAGAAGTTAATCTTCAATCAATTATTCAATTAGATTACTGAACCAATTACCCTCATTTCGTGTTGTAGGCTTTTACAATTATAGATGTAAGGATGTTAGAGATACTTAGGATTTTTCAATTTAATCAAAAAATAACTCATATAAATAAATAAATATATATATATAAAGATATAATGCATACACAAGTCAAACGTGACATACGTGTTACAGTTCAATGGCATGCTAAAAGTATGCTAATTAGGACGTGTGTCAGGCACGTCTTATGTACCCGGCTCTATGCGTATATTCATTTTAATGATGTAGTTGTTAAACTCTATGATAAAAAAATGACTATACACTCATGATGAGAAATATATATATATATATATACACATACATATTGCCTAAGATATAAACGATTATAGGATAGATAGGACAGCATTATCAAATTTTTTCCTCGTATAGATATGAAATGTTACAATAATCAATTTTAAAGACTATCTACTTTTATTTAATATACATATATGTAATTTCGAGAATTATGAAATTATTATTAAACTCAAATTTAATATCCCACACAAAACATTTAAACGATACTTTTACACGACTTGTAAGACATTTACTAGTTTACACACGATTAATCTTCCGAGAGATATAATCGAGAATTTTTTTACTATCTAACACAAAGGGGTATTATTGTAGCAGACATTTACTTAATTGTGGAATTATGACATTAGCAACAGCGTTAGTTGTTATTGTTTTTTTTTTTGCTTTCGTTTTTTTTTTTACCCTTTCAATTACTTTCATAGTTTAGTGTCAAAAAGTGAGGCCAAAAAATAAATGAATGTTTTTATTACGTCAGTTTTTTATTGCAGATTATTAATATTAAAATATTATAGATGTTATTTAAAAAGAAAAATTACAATTTTCTCTATTATGGTATATATGGTCTAAAGATTGTAGTATTTAAAAAATTATGCTACAATAGAGAGAATAACGTAGAGATAAAAATGTAAAAATTACTGAGGTGAACTTTTCTTTAATGTGTTTTACATTCTTAATTAGATTGAAGATATAAGAAGTAATTTTAGAAAGATAGAAAACTTATTCTTTTCATTGTCGTTTTTAAGATCTCTCTACAATATCCAGGTTTTCTCCTTTTATTTCTTCTCTTTTTAACTCTTCCGGTTGTTATAATGTTGCGTGGTCTTATGAGAAATCTCACCTCTAATAAGTAGACGGCATATTTTAATTTTCTTAAGGCCGCATATACCATAACACCACATATTCAAAGAATTATTTAATATCTAAGAGAGAAGGATATAATAATGCATTTTTTTCTTGCGTTTATTCAAACGCATTCTTTATAAGTACGCGAATGTTATAATATCGAGATATATTTATTTCCTTATATCTTTCCTCACGTATCATTTGGCATATTTTGGCATTGTTACGTGTATATAAACGTTAGTTTTATTATCTATTTAAACAAAAATAAGATGTCAAACAATTAATAAACTACTTTTAATATGTCTATTTTCATATAGCTAGCTTCATATAGCTATTTTCATACACCACATGATTGAGAAGATAAATTTTCAATTGATACATTGAGATCTATGAATCTACAATAATTGACATGATAAATAATCGCGTTTATTGTAGTTTTGAACCGAATTGTTGAAATCGTCGAAACGAATACTTATAAAGAATGCGATTTCTTTTTCAATAATATTTCGCGATCGTATTCTTCCTTCCACAGTATTTATATTTAACAAAATGTTACAAATAATGGGATCATATTCGGATTATAACAGTTCTTTGTATACAGAGAGAGATGCGAAAAAATCTTTTTCATTTTTTGAATAACTGGAAGAAAGTTACGATCGCGTTTTATGGAACGTTTAGGAAATCATATTCCTGAATAATAGGATTATATGAATATTACAAACAATTACAATATATTGTACTATTTTACTTCTATAACAATTAAATGACATAATTAAAAATATAAAATATATTAAGAACATATAAATTATTGTGAAAGCAACAAATTTAGCTACAAAATAGAATAATAGGAGAGTAACAAAGTGGATGATTAGCTAATATTATCGTAACAAAGAAAACATACAGTTGAATATTTATATACTACTGTCCCCGTTGTTGGTTTCATCAATAATCTCGCACATTTTGGAGCATTTTGATGATATGCGTGTATCATCGTTATACGTTCGATTATTGTCAGTCATACCTAAAAATCAAACGTTTAATTGGATCAATTTAATAATAACAATTGGTTTTCATATATTATTATAGAAATAAAGAAACATACCGTATCGATAATGAAGATATATATCGAGCAGCAAAATTCCAAGTCTGTGTGAAGTACCTTTGATATTTCAGGCAGTGTCCGTTAAATCTCAAACAAATCGTTTTAAAATTGAAATCTCAAAATCCTGAAATGCTTGCGAATGCAGCTTTCCAACTTGGAACGCGTTTAACTGTGTTTACTTCGACTGCACAAAGAAAACCAACAATAGGGTAAAATTAAATTAAACACTATATTTTTGACAAGTTACAATAATAATACCAATTACAAAACGTTATATGCTCCGTCCTGTGTAAATGATTTCTCCTCTGCGTTGCAAACGGAGGTCGAATCACATTGTAATTGCGTTTGTTTGTGCACTAGTTGAAAATATTATGATGTGCCCGTTGCATTCTGCGTAAATTACGCGTGAGACGACGTGCGACAGGCAGGCGAGAATTCGAGAGCATCGGGGAGAGAAATTATCATCACGGTTCGGACGAGAAAAAAAACACACATAATCATTAGAATATTGTATAATAATGAATTGCGTAAAAAATTGTAATATCTAAAGGAAATTTGCTGAACATTTATATCACGATTTGTAACTAAAGGTACTTGCTATAGACCTGTGTCGTCCTTAATCACTCGTAATTTTGATATAACAATTACTGCATTTGTTATTTTGATAATGGCATGGCTGATCCTTGACATTAGATAATCACGAAAATCTCTTCGTTTATTCGTAGCGAGATGTGTGTTCTTGTTTGCAAAAAAAAAAAAGGAAAAACGTTTGCTCAATGTCCGCGAAAACTTTCGGACATTCCCTATCGTCCCGCAAGAATCGATTATCAGTAAAAATACAATCTACCGTGACTCGCATTATTATGATTATTATACAGTTTATAATCCTTGAATTATATACATGTATATGTTACAGATTCTTTGAGATATCTCAACATTGTCTAGATTTATAGGTCAATTTTTTTCGTATCTATTTGAGTTATTGATTAGTCAATTATGGAATGGTCAATTACGTTATGATTATCATGATATTATAATATTTTCAATTATCCTACACTGTTAGAAATGTTCCTGAACAGTGTTTATTAATATTTAATGTTAAAAATTTCATGAAATTTAATGTACTTTTAAATTACAAAATTTAAATTTAATTTCATGACATTACATTAAATTTAATGTACATGTTCATTACATTTAAGTAACTACTATAACTTAATTTTCAGTTAAATTATTCATACTTTTAATTTTGTTCATAGCTACGTTCATAACCAAGCTTTATTTATATGTAAAGAAAGTATTTCTAACAGTGTATGTATAAATTACAATTATTATAATTAATTACAATTATATTTGATTTTTATTAGAGTGCAGTAATGACCGATACGAGCTTACATGACATGAATTCAGACTTATTTGTTAAAGACACGAGGTAACAAATGGCTGTACAATTGTGATCGCGCTTATAATTAGATCAAATCGTTTGTACATCACTTATCAATATGTTCTCTATAGAATCATAACTTCTGCCACAAATGTATACAATGATGATGGAAAATCTTCACGTTGTTTTTACGATGCGTTAATAATACTAAGGC